TTATTAGCAGCTTATGCAATCCACCGAGCAGATCTGCTTGGCAGGTTGCATAACTGGCTGCGTGCAGCACGAGGAGGAAAACATTGCCGCTACACTCGCCATCACCACTGACGTCGTGTGCTTTACAAATTACATTTCTCTAAGGTTTAAACAACCTAGATTTTTATAATTAATTTTTCTGTGAATCATAGAATTCCACCTATATTCTAAAAGGTTGTTCAACCGTACTTGATTTTTTATGGTGATTTGAATTTAAAATCAGCTTTACCTCAATGGGTTTTGTCATTTGTGAGTTATTTATCGTTTAAGGAAAACAATATCCTGCTCTACGTGTCTCGGCTTGAGTTATGAAATCATTTTGACAAGAATTAGTACAAATAAAAAACCTTTTTTTTAAATTACAAAAAAATTGTAACAAAATTTGCTTTTATAGTTGATAGATAGTTTTTTTTTTTTGTTAAAATACAATTATTTATGATTTTTTTAAGCTTTTTTTATTTCAATGACTAAATACCATTGAGTAGATTTCAGATGACTTTGATTTGCGTTGAAAAGACCACACCTGTGATTTTTTTATGAACTGAAAATTTTTACAGAATTTAAATGGCTGATTAAAGTGTAAAGAAAGCAGCGTTTTACATCTTTTACAAATCCATGCACACAAAGGACATTTTTTTTTTTCATTTTTCACTGCTTGCAAAATAAAAAGCTGTGAAACCGGTGTTTGAGCGAGAATGAAAGAGAGGGAGGCCCAGCGTAAAATTACGACCAAGAACTTGACTCTCGCGAGCAGTCTTCATATAAATCTCTCCGGCTGGCGCTGCTGAATTGTAAGCAAAGTTGGTTTATTAATAATTTGTTTTCATCCCTCGTATAAGCGCCTTGAATGCGAGCACAAAGTGTATGAAAGCAGCAACCCTTTGAAGTTTGTGTGCGGCGGCGGCACACGAGCCTCCTCGCTCGCTCTCTCTTGACGTTGTTTTCGTTTCGATGGCGCGCGTTTGCGCACTCGGCCGCTCACCCACCGGCCAGAGAAATGATATTTTAGCAATGAAATTAGCAGCAGCCGAGAAGGAAGCGGTGGTGCTGCATTTCAAAAATAATGGGCCGAGGGCGCGTGCGGGGGCTGCAAAAGTCGCGGGCGAATTTATTAATTGCCAGCGAGGGCGGGTCGTTGATGCAGCACTTTCTCTGCTGCACCAAGAAAAGCAGCCAGGCACCCCTCCTTCATTCCTCCTATATCAATCCTCAATTATTAATTAAATCAACACTTCAAATGCATATATCTGCTACTCTTGTTTTATTATACACTTGAGAATAATAATATTTCAAATTGTATATTGGTGAAACTTAATCTGGAAAAAACTCTATTTGCTCAGGGGAATGATTTTTTTATTTATTTTATTATTTTCAAAATAGAAATAATTGCTAAAATTTTGATTATAGAAAAAAGATATTTGAGGCTACAAAAATGATGCAATATTACTTGAATATTCAAGTTAAAAACCATAATTATCCTGTTAATTTCAATTTTTTACTGTTTTTTTTTTTTATAAATTTATACCATAGCCAATCATTTTTCCGTTGTGCTACTGTAAAATTGAGTTAAAATCAAACTTACTTTATGAATTGCAAGAATAATGTCTCAAATATATCTGTTAAATATTGCATGAAAAAGTATGGGATGTTTCTTTTAAAATATTTTTTAGTTTTGTTGAAGTGTCCCATTGTCAAATTCATTGAATATGCAAAATTAAGTTTATTTTTGAAAGCGTATGAATAATACTGTAAACGGCCACCGTATTTATAAATATTAATTTAATGTGCACAAGTAATAATATTATTGACCTTTGCTCTGTTCAATTAAAACTAATTGACCTAATAGAGCTGACGAGAAAGAAAATCTGTTTGGCGCAGTAGGTTTTGTACGGTCGTGCAGCGGCGAGAGTAATTGATTCGTCTGAATAAATTGGGCGAATCGATTACCAAATGAATGGTTGCCGGCGAATATGGTGACGGGGTGGCAGCGCAGCGGCACTTTTCCACCCTCGAGCGCAATGAATCCCTCACGCGCGCTCAGCACGGAACATGCTGGCAGGAGGGGAGACGGACATAAAGCAGAAGATGAGAGAGAATTTCATCAGACACACACCAGAAAATCCAAAAGATTAACACCACACATCGATGTCACATAATATGCAAAAAGTCTAACAAAATTAGCGAGCATAAAAAATAAATTAATTAATACATCTAATCGAGGGATAAATCTTAACTATTGAAATAAAACTTAAAAAAAAAACTTGTGAAAACTTTTTTGAATACTTGAACTGAGATGATGATTTCTTATTACGATTTATATATCAATATTGATTTGATTGTTAAAAAAATATTTAATTGTTTTTGGAACTTTCACATATGAAATTTCTTTTTATTGTTTGGGCTATGTGTAATTTTGTTTGTAAGATTTAAGCTGATTTAAGCATAATTTTTCTCTTCATATTTTTACTTCTGCTCCACCATGCTACACTGATTGAAAATAGGTAAACAGAGCTCCAAAAATTTCATTCAAATTCCAAAGAAAATCAAAGCATTTGATTTAAATAAGGAAAAAACTTTTACTCTCATAAATCAAAAGTTTCAGCTTTGAAAATCAGTGTCGTCATTAATTTTAGCATACAAACTGGTGGCCAACACTGGCGTAACAACATCTCTAATATTCAAAGTATATGATAAGAGTCTAACTCAAAAAGTCCAATTTCACAGCTCTTGGCAACTCTTGCGCCAGTCGATTTAAGACTTTTTAGAAAAAGTCGATCCCAATGCCTCGTGGTATAAAATGGACTAACTTTCAACCACCAGCGTTTCTTGGATTCTTTCATCTTCAGCTCTACGAGATAATATAGTATCTAATTATTGGCCTGTGGTTTCGTTCTCTAAACAGTAAGTACATATGCCGCACAATTCATTACTACATTGAAAAATATTATTTTCACAAATTCAATGTTATAGATTATTTATAGGTTCATGAAGTTGTTGTTGTGGAACCTCTTGGCACTCAAGGTGATCATTTTTTGATGAAATAAAATCCGACTTCCTCGATGGAGATGAGCAACTTTATTGATTCTGTACCATGCAGAAACAACAAAGTTGCTCATCTCCACCGAGGAAGCCGGTTTTTACTTAATCAAATAATGCAATAGAGTTGATAAATTAAACAAATTAAAACTTGAATGAACATAAAATTGAACTCTACTCATAATGATTAAACCATTGCGCGAATTTTTTCTGCCAATCTTAATTATATATTTATTTTATTAAAAATTATGTTGACATTTTTTTTCTTTTTACAGAAATAATGCGAAAACAAGATGCAAAGGAAATACCAAGTGCATATTTGTGCAAGGTATGCTACGCAAGGGAAATCCAGGTCGTCCTTCTACCTTGTGCCCATGCAATAGTGTGCACAAACTGTGCAGTTCAGCTACAAAAATGTGCGATATGCAGCGCCAAAATACAATCTTTTGTTCGCACTTATTTGCCTCGTTAGACCAATTTTGTTTTTTGGTATTAAAAGAATTCATCAACAGATATAATTTAAAAATAACCATTTATTTTTTTTTGCAAAATATCAGTCTTAAAATTTTATATTCTTTTGAATATACATGATTTAACTGTAGTAAATTACACCAAGACTGATATAATATGGATATTTTATCTTTTTTATGCTCAATTATTTAATAAATATTAAATTATTTATTAATATTAAATTATTTATTAATCACAAAATTATTTGTGTTTATTTTTTCATGTTCCCTTTATCACACTGTTAAATTTAAACTATTGAAAAATTTGTTTGCACAAATAAATGTTTGGGAAAAATGGCAAAACTGCACTAGGAAGGATTATTTGTTACAACTTCCAAAATAAAAAACACCCGGTTGTATGATGAAAAAATAAAATAATTATTAAAAATAAAAAGGTTCGGTGTAGGGCAACTATGCCCCATAAAAGAACTCATCCAAAATCAATGAGAAAATGAAATTATTTGATAAAAAGAATAATTATTTTTGGTATCAATAGCACAGCAAATTGTGATTCTCTTTATGAATTAAAAAAAAATATGCTTCCAGCAGTTTTATTATAATAGTGCTACAAATTTAATAATCTTACAATCAATTTAGGGACATGGCCTGGTAATATGTAGCTGTTGCAACGTGCCATGCAGAAAAATCTCAAGTTTCTCAAGTTGTAATAAAAACTTAAATTTTATATAAAATTCAATGGTTTTTCAGTTATAATGCACAAGCAATTGCTTTATAGATATGAATTTTTATAATTTCCAATTCCGGTTTATTCTTTTGTAGTACAATATATTTCTTTGCAATATCAGTTTTAATTTTAGATTTGTTTTGAGAAAAATGACACATTAAAATAGAAACTGGAATTAACAACGCAAGCATGACACAACTCTACACTAAAAATTACAATAAATCACACACTCACACTAACAAATCAACAAAAATAACACATTTAATTATAAATGTAAAATTTAGCTTTGATCAGTTCAATCACATTTTTTAGTGAGAGTATACAAAAATTAAACATAAAAATTTAAAAAAATCGTAAAAAAACCATTTTCTCTGGTTTAAAATTAATTTTCAAGTTATATTCTTATTATTAATTTATTAAAAAAGTTTTTACACAGTTTTCAAATTGACTGACAAATGAACGGAGTGATGCTAATGGCTTAAGTAGTGCCTCAATAATACAGTATAATAGGAAGATGGGAATCGTAGCTGAGGGTCCAGGCGGCCCGCATTGTTTCCGACAGCGCACACCAGAAACCACGAGGGGAAGAATAATATTTGACATAAGCGGAGGAGCCGCCGCCGCCCGCGATATTGTTCCTGCGTCTTGTTTGTAAGCAGCAGCGTTCGGGTGCGAGCGAACGAGGACGAGTCGGTACGAGTGGCGAGAGCACGCCAGGCAGATCGGCCGCGAGCCTCAGTCAGCTGGCGTCAGGCGAGCTCCGAGCATCCCGACTCACGCCACTCCTGTGCGCAAATTGCATCACACAACCTGCTCCTCATCTCCGCGCCCTCCGCGCACATCCAGACCTGCCTCAACCGCCGGACAGTGCTTCGAGTGACAGTGCAGTGGTCTGCCCAAGAGGACACACAGACGCATCCCCTGGCCGTGTTACCGCAGGTCAGGGATGTAAGCACAGGTGACGCTCGCCTTTGGTGCCGCAAAGTTCAGTTGAAACCCGATCAATTAATTGATTAATTAAGGAAGAAAATATACACATGGCCGGACCGTACTCGGCCGTCAAGGCGCCCACCAGCGTCCTCGAGGAGGAGCTGATGGACTTTGAAAACGCCGCCACCCACTACAACGCCGACGAGTGCTGGACCCTGTCCGAGCTGGACGACGAGGCCCTCCAGAGCATCGTGTCCACCAAGACCAGCAGCGGAACTTCTTCTTCCTCTTCAGCCACAGGTAGGTTAATTTTTTTAATTTAATGTGGAACGGTTAAGAAAGCAACGAGCGATTTTGATATTAAGCGCCGAGTCGATTACCTGCCAGCGCTGCTCGAGCTCGTTGGTAAATTAATTAACCCTTTGAATCAATCAAGCGGCTCATTTGCAAGTGACGCGACTCGCTATGGTATTTGTACGTGCCTGCACAGCTACGGAGCTGCTGGAGAGAGAATCTGCCTTTGCCGCCCTTGCGCTCGGGGGGTGTTTTGTGCATGCTTGGGAGAAACATCTGCTGGTACATCCATTCAGTAATATTAATATTATAGTCATAATGTACTAGTTTTAAAATTATTTAATATGATTATTTTACTAGTAAAAAATTATTATTTAAATTAAAAATAAATATATACAGTTTTTATACAATTTTTATTATTATATTTATTTATAATTTTTTTTTCATATTATTACTTATTTACTTAATATTACTTATTACCAAATGTTTAGTATTTTATTTTGAATTCTTTTAAATTAAAAATTTATAAAAAAATATATTATTTAAATAACCACAAGCATATATGTATTCATAATTAATATAAATATTCATGATACTTTATTGTATGTAGAAGTGGATGAGGTCTGGATTGAAATTAGATTGGAATTATTTAAAATAGGAAATATCAATTAATTTTATGATAAAACTAATTTGAAGTCTTGTGAAGCAAAATAATTATAATATTAAATCTTTTTAAATATTTAGCTTCCTAATTATTGCTAATTATTATTTTTTCCTTCATTAAAAGTTTGCATTGTTTTGCTCATTTCCATCCTGAAGGCTGAAAAAATCTTGTAATGCATTTAAAATTATATACGTTTAATTACTTTTTTCCTACCACATTGTAATTTATGCTTTTATTAATTTTCAAAACCAATGGACTCAATAATACACGGTCACTTATTAAAAAATAAAATAAGCTTTTTTTATCAATTTAGGTGTGCGTAAAATTTAATTTTTTGTAAACTACGTTTTGTTTATTATTCCGCTATAGCTTGCGATAATGAAAAAAACTACATCATCATGGGATTAAAAAATGGTCCGTGGTAAATTATAATTTGCGGCCACAGTTGTTTTAGGAGGAAAATATTGCTAATGAAAATTTCTAGTTTTAATCAGGCCTGGCAAAATCACAATCTCGACGAGAGATGCATTGGGAGGCGCTGATCGATACTTTCCGACACAATAAAATAGTGAAACAAAAGGGCGGCACAAAATAATTTTACACACACGCATAGCTCCGGCGAATGGATATAGTGTTTGCGCGTGGAATGTACTCCATCAGGTGCACGTGACAATTGTGATTAGCGTGAACAGAGAGAGGGGGAACAATATCGGTTTGTCTGTGTTCGCAGCGCGTTATCACTTTGAGCTGTTATTGTCATCAGTTGCTGCCACTTTTCCCCGTTGCCAATAAAAACTCACTTTTTAATTGAATAATATAATTTTATAAAAAAGATTACTACTGAAATTTGCATTAATATTAAATTATTTACGAATAATTGAGAGGAACAATTGAAGACTTTTAATTGAACCTTAATATTATGCTTCAACAATTATATTAATTTTGAGGCTAAGTAATGTAGCCTTTTTGTAGGCAATGTGAGACGGTACTATTTTTGTTATTTAATTAAAAGTCTTCTCTTTATTTGATATAATTAAATGAAAGTGCATTTATAAAAATCAAGACAAATTTAAATGTTTATAAGATAAGATAAAACATTTAAGGATAAAACATTTAATCACGTGCCTTTACAATCGCATCTGATTGTGATATAAAGAGATTATCGATTCTCTAGAAGCTGATCTTCATAAGAGTGCAAATTATTTCACGGCTCGTTAGGACAAAGCAAAAATGTTAATAAAAAGTGACGCGCCGGTTATTATAGCTCTGCGCTGTTTTTTTTTTCATCTCATTGTTTGCGGCGTTTTGTGTGCTGCAGTAATATACATTGTACTTGCGGCTGCGAAGAAGAAGTCGTATAAATAATAATATACTGTGCTTTAATAAAGACGATGACATCACGGCTGCGATGAAAGAACAATGGCAGATAGGAAGAGGAGACGTACGCGCTCGCAATTATATTTTAATTCCACTGCTGGAATTTGTTTGTGCGATGAAAGAGCGTTTGACTGCGCTTCGCAGTTTTGCTTGTTTTTGTTTTTGCGGGATGGCGCCGTGCGGAGAAACAAACAGGAAAGGGAACGACGAAAATTGCAAATATTATAATTATTATACGGACGTTCTGAAAAGGGAAATTAATTAATGCTCGAGTGGCTGTGCCGCTAACATGTGCTGGAAACGAAAACTTGTTTCCTTTTATTTCTTTTTCTTCATCCAACAATTCATATTTTGTGCCTTTTTTTTGGAAAAAAAGCAGTTTGTGAGGAAAATGAAGTAATTATTACGCCACTTCTCAGGGAAGATCAAAGACAAAGGGATAAAAATAAAAACAATGTAGAATATTTGTTTAAAAATTTATATATTTTTTTTTTTTATTATAGCATAACAAGTACCAAAAAAACGTGAAACTTGAAATTTTGTGATCCAATTCATAATAGAAATTCAGAAGCCTCACGGTTTCTATGTTCATTGATACCAAATTTTTAATTAAAATTAGCCTTAATTTTTCAATCATTTTTGATCATTTTGTAAGAAAATTCTTAATTATTATATTATTTAATTAATAAGTCCCTTTAACCGTGCAATCTTTGATATCGAGAACCCCTCTTTCTTTATTGTTATAAAATTAAGAAATAATTTGCTTCAGATCCTCTCTTTTTGCAATCATCGTTGATATTTTATTACAACGCTCGTGGCTAGAGAGTTGAGAAGTCATTAGGCAGATCAATACCAAGTGATAATCCGACCCGAGCTTACTCAGTCGCGACGCATGATTTGACAATTTTAATCAAAACGGCCGTCGCACATTCGCGCCTGCGATGAATGAGGCAAAAGGAACAACCAGAGCATTCAAACTGAAGCCTCATCTTTTGAGGCAGACAGATAAAAATTCCAGCCCGCCGACCGTATACCGGGAAATATGTATGACGGGGCGGATGAAAAGTAAGAAAACACATTGAACGAACAGACAAAATATCATCCCCTTAGTCAAGAAAGGCGCTCTCGATTCAACCGGGACAATGTATTGGAATTTTTTTTAAAAGTGTTCGCCCGCCCAGCAGCTGGAAAATAATCCTCGCCGCTGCTCATTCTTTTCTTTCTTTTCTCGTGCGTACATAATGCAGCTCAGCGACGGCGCACAATAAAAAGCAGCAGGTAAAGAGGCCCTTTTAACACACATGATAGACTTAATTACAGGTAGGACAAAACACGCCGAGCGCCCTCTTGTAAATAAACCAGCCAGACTCTTGCGCCCGCCCGCCCGCTTGCCGCGGCTCAAAAGAATTTTCGAGCAAATATTGCCGCGTTAATGTTGCCCGTAAAAGCCACAGCGCTCTTTTTGTGCTCTAAGTGTTTAGTGCCGATTAAATTTAATTATTTTCACCGACGTTCCATAGTGATGATGCCAGATTATCTGATTTTCTGATTTTTATTTACAATAATTAGAATTCCCAAAAGTATTTTTTGTTATAAAAAACTTGCCTAGTAGGCCCTTTTCAAATAATTTAAAATATTGATTGGATTATATATTTATTAGTTTGAAAACTAGTACACGTGCATGTAAGAAAATGAATATGTTCAGAATAAAAAATAATAATATGAAGCTCTTCTCTGAGAAGAAAGAAAAAAAATTGTAAATTAACAAGAAATAAAATAAAATTATTTATGTTTTAATTTTAAACTATAATTTAAAGGAAATAAAAAAGGTTTTTGTATTTAATTCATATATCCTAGTTGAATTTATATGTGAAGACAGGTTTGATCGTGAAATTATACTCTGAAATCGTTGCCGAGTTTTTATCCTTACATTACCTTGCTGTAAAAAAATCTACACTGGGTGGAACGTGTGCGATGGAAAGGTATTGATAATGCGGGCGAGCGCGGAGAGGCGGCCGGCGTGGTGTCGGTATTGATTGTATGTGTTACCTACCTGCCGCTACAAATAAGAGCCATAGAGAGGATAGGAGGACTTGAAAAATGTGTTTCATCTTTTAAAGGGCCGGTTTTATAGTGATTGTGAGTACTGTACCTGGGTATCAAGGTTGGTTTGCTCTCGGGCCACATTCTATACTGTTACAGCTGTGAATGTGTGTGTGGTGTGTTGTAACAATAATAATGAGCTCTCTCACTGAGCCTCTGCGCCTTCCAGAATAACTTTCTTTTTAAAGAGGCAAACAATGAAAGCTCGAGATTTTATTCTATCTCGTTTTGTTTTTATGCGTATAATTCCAAAAAGATTCGGCGCGGATTTTGATGCTCGGCAGCAAACGGGCAACACCTGCGCGGTATCTGCTGAAGAGAAGCCAGAGAGAAACGGGAAAATGAATTGTCATTCCGCTGGAGGAGACTCGGATGAGATTTCTTCATGAGATGAATATTAAATTGTCTCCACAGCAGTCAACCGCGCGCTCACTCGCTGATCAGAAGACGCGGTCTCAACACGATATTGCGTTTTTTTTTTAGCTTTGAAGGAGAAGAAAAAACTAATAATATAGTAAAAACCTTCAAAGTCATCTGTAATTAAATTAATATTTATAATTTATAGTTCTGGAATGAAATATCAGTTACGGTCCTTGCTTGATGCAAATTATGTCTATAGATGAAGTGTTCATTTTTTTAAATCCGGACTGATGCAAGGATAGGAAATTGTTTGAATTCAAATCCCATTTTTTTCTGTGCAATTATTTAAAAGTTATTGAAAAATTTATATTTATCATACTTATTACAGGAGAAAAATACATTTTATTAAACAATAATAAGCAAATATTTTACATTTCCATGTTTCACTCAAATTTTAACTATTCAGTATAATAATATTTTCATGAAATATAATTATATATGA